GTAATGTCTATGTACATAGCAAAAAGTGGCTCGATCTCAACAGTACATACTGCCGGCTGAATTTCGTAGACGAATGAGAATCTGCTTCACGAAATTTGACTTTTTTTCTGGTAAGGACAATCTAAGCTGGTGTAGCATTGGAGAAAAAGAGCCATTCTTTGTATACCGAGCACACGCACAAAGACACGGCACTTAAACTCCACGAAGTGAGTCACGAACAAAAGAACACTGTTAATTAAAGGAGAATGGAAAATACGTGAGGGGAGACGGTCGTGCATGCAACACGATTTCGAGCTGTGCTCCAATTATGTCGCACGATTTGTGAAATACCTTGTGCTCACACGTTGAGACATCAATTTCGACCACAGAGAGTCTTTTTGTGGGCGTGTCCATTTGATATAAAAAATAATTTGGTTTTCCATTAGTACGTTTCACGTAAACTAGTGAATGTTTAGGTTCGAATCGATCGGGTACTAGTAGGTAAATGAACAAAGGATAATGCTGATGAACAGTGTCTGACTGGGCAACAGTAGTCTCATGAGCAGTCAAAGAGCTGGAGAATGCAGCCGACTGTGCAGACGTTGCGCAAAACAACACCTCGCTCCTCCAGACGGGAGAGAGCACCTGTGGTTTTGAAGAGCATCCTTGAAACACTCAACTGTATAATGAAAATCAATGTACAATCTACATTTTTGCAACAGAGGGTTTGTAACTTTTACCGGGGTGTTCGATAACCAATATCAATTGTAAAAATTAGAGTCTCTCTCATCTCGATACATGACAGCGCGCGAGACCCCCCCTGGATGATTACTTTTTGAAATAACAAAGAGTGACATTACAGATTCTCAAAGCCGTTAAAAAGGAACTGGTGTTAAGTTGATGCATTCGAAACGAGTTGCCTGTAATTTGATGATGTTTCGGTTTTAAAGGAAATTACAAAGTGTGAGCTTGTCCCAACTTTGTCCGTTTGTGCTGTACAATAATACCAACCTGCACAACACGTCGCCGCAAACAACACTGATAGGCTGAGTTGACCCTAAGTGGCTCGTATTCACAGCTGCTGAGGGGGGGAAATGTGTTGGACATTGTTAAAAAATATCTGCTGTTTCAAAACAGTGTTGCCAGGAAAGCCTGCAGCAGAGGGATACGCACTACAGAGCAGTCTCCCATCCTGGCGATGCTTGTTCTGAAAACGACAACAGAGAAAAACCAACGAACCCAAACAAAAAATAAAATGACAACAAACAGAACAGACTAACAAATAAAAAGAGGTGGGAAATTCCTCCCATCATCAGGCACTGCTGAGGAGAGCCTATCAGTCACAGATCCAGCTGAAACTGAGCAATATACCATGAACATAGCAACACAGCCTGCCCCAGTTTCCAATCTGACCAATCCGAGCTCAGCTGCTGCGCTGCTCTCCAAGAAGCACTGCAACGTTGGCCTGACCGACAGGACGTGTAGCCGGCTGAAGCAGCAGGTCCTTTTTTTTTTTTT